GGTAGAAGGCAGTGGATGGTGAAGTGGAAAGGATTGCAGATGACCCATGCTACGTGGGAGGAAGAGGTTCTTATGGGGGAGGGGAGGAACTGGTCTTAGCGTCTTTCTGGGTGATGAAGTATCGAGTATCGCTGATAGGTGTGGGGATTGAACCTGGGTCGTTATTGGGAGTGTTGCGTGTTATGGCGGATTACACTGCTTGAATTCAGCGATCTCTGCGGTGTGAGATGTGGACTGCTTTGGATACTTCACAGAATGTTTAGAATGAGTGGGGTTCTACTATCCAATCTACGTTGTTAACCTCGTATAGTTTGGTCCGCCTAGACAAGGGTGACACGTGCAGGGATCGAACCTGGGTCGTCATTGTGAAGGCTCGCATGTCAGGCCAGCATCAGTAACGACCTGATAGATGCTTGGTATGAGTTGAACGATCGATCAAGGAAGGCGAAACTACAGTGTAAACTAGAGAGACCGGCGAAAGCGTCTGAACAGTGGATGAAGGATTTTATTGATGTACTGTTGTTGCAACTGGTGATGGTTAATGGGTGAGATCAGGTTCAAAAGGATAAGGATGGGTCTAATAAGTATGTATATAAGCCTACTGAGGACACATTATTCGATTTCCAGGTGAGCATTAGTAATATGGGGTGATGGATAGTGAGAGGTCATTTCAGATTGAGGGAGTCCAGTGGTTGTTGTATAACTGGTCACAACGTCGGGGATCTATCTTGGCGGATGAGATGGGCTTGGGAAAAACGGTCCAAAGTTCGGTGTTGCTATCGGCTATTATGAAGTACTCTGGGGGGAGTGGTCCGTGCTTGGTGGTTGCTCCTTTGAGTACACTAGGCCATTGGAAAAGGGAGCTTCAGAAGGTAGTGGAGGAGTGGTATAAAATGTTGGATTTTTTTAACTGCATTGTTGTTGTTATTTTAGTGGGCGCCATCGCTGGTGACGGTATTGTTTCATGGTAATGCTGAGGATAGGCAGATGATGATGGATTACGATCTCTCATGGATTGATACTCATACTGGTGCCTCTATCTTTGAGAAGAGCAGTGTGCGGCGAAGGGTGGAGTATAAGTAGGCTTATTCACTCATCGTGGTCTATATGGAAGAGTGAGTATCCATTCAGACCGAAGT